ATACCAGTATCGGTATCGGTGCATCCCTATTTCAAAGAGTATAATGATCTGTACTTAACACATAAGGCTCTGCTTGAAACATCTGGCTGTGTGATTTTGTACGATAAATATTTTTCAACTACTGGTAAAGACAAAGTCTTTAACAAAAAGTTCAATATACTCCTAAATACCATCCAGTAATGTGTTTCTAAAGATGGTTGGATCAGTGTGTATAAAAGTGGAATATACAATTTGAATATGCAGAAAATATGGTGCTTTACTTAAATGAAGAAAGACATGTTTTTATTCACTTTATTTAGTAAAATTTAAGTTAATTTAATTTTTTTATTTTTGTCATTGTAACTTCTTTTAGTTAGGTATGAATCTATTATTTGATCATCACACCTCTCAGGTCCATTAAATATGCAGTCTTATAATAAACAGTAAAACAAAAGGCTGTTATGTGCAGTGATTTTATATGTCAACATGGATTTGCTCTGGCTGCTCATGGAGGTGGGTTGCAAAGCGGCCGGCAGCTTAAATAGTTCTGGGCTGAGCTGATATGGACGAGCTGTGAGATCAGCTGAGCTGGCGTTACAGCCTGCCTGATGTCATGCAGGATTTCTCCAGCTCTGTGTGTGTTACAATGTAACTGTATCCATGCAGATTTACAGTATGTGCACATCTATGCACAGAGTTCATTGTCATATACGTTTAAATGTTACAAGAAACAGCAGTGTTGATGATTCATAAGGACATGCAGATACTCATGTTGCTATAATTCAGCAATGAGCTGCTTTCAAGTGAATGCTCCTGTTCCACCACATCAGCCTTTGTCCAGTCTCTGTGTTATCAAAGTCCTTGAAGAAGCTGGTGCTGAAGTGTCACACTGCTTTTATTCCCTTTATCAGCAGACGCTGGGCTTGTTTGCTGTGCTGTGGGTGCTTACACAGGAAAAAGCGTGGTGGTGAAAAGCAGCCTGACAGCAACAGAAGCCACTGCCCATTTCACACTAATCTGAGGCCTAATCATCGCATTTTGGTCTCAGTGTTCAAACTCCAAGTCAGTTATGCATTTTGCGATCATCTTCTCTCCATCTTTCAGGAAAAGTGCCATCAGTACTGGCCTGCTGAGCGCTCTGCACGTTACCAGTACTTTGTTGTGGACCCGATGGCCGAGTACAACATGCCTCAGTACATCCTCCGAGAGTTCAAAGTCACTGATGCCCGGGTAGGTTCTCTTTTAGCAGCAGCAGGGATGTGACTGCAGATCACTCGTACACTCTTTCCAGCTGGTGGGGGAGGCAGGGATCGTTCTGTGTGAGCCATTTATCTTTTTCTTTCCATTTTCCTGCATATTTACCAGGATGGTCAATCGAGGACCATCCGGCAGTTTCAGTTCACGGATTGGCCAGAGCAAGGAGTGCCAAAAACTGGGGAGGGATTCATTGACTTCATTGGCCAAGTGCATAAAACTAAAGAGCAATTCGGACAAGATGGACCCATCACTGTTCACTGCAGGTAACTAAGAGTGTTTTTGACAGTGTAAATCTGACACGAGAAGCTTTAAGTGATACATTTCAGTATAATAATGATAATGTATGTTTACCAGTGCTGGTGTTGGGAGGACTGGTGTGTTTATTACTCTGAGCATCGTTCTGGAAAGGATGAGGTATGAAGGAGTGGTCGACCTCTTCCAGACCGTCAAGACTCTCCGAACTCAGAGACCGGCTATGGTGCAGACAGAGGTATCAGTGTGATGCAGGGGCGTTCATCACAAGGGGCTCAGTCATAGACAGCACATAAAAGAATATAACACATCTTTTTAGAATCGATTCTCCCCAAACAATAACATATCTTGGCTGTATCTCTATCTACAAATTCAAAAAGCAGCACAACATTGTGGCTTCATTAGTATCTGTGCAGACACGATCCACGTCTCTGTGGCTCCTCCTGCCAGAGCAACAAACATCATGTTGATCGACATCACGAAGTGCACAGAACTACACAAGTAACAAGAAAATGAGTTCACTTGTGTGCCACAGTGCACAGCTGACACTGTCCAAACTGTTGCATCAGTGCAACAACATGATTAGTGCATGTTTACTAGTTTATCTGTTGAATGGGTCTGTTAGGACAAATTTACAGAGTTCTCCCATAGATTTCTGCTCCACACCTCCACCTCATAATGTCTCTGATGTAGCTTCAGATATGAAAAGTGACTTTGCCTTAAACCTGCATTATATCTCATGACCAGCAGGGGGCAGTCCACTGAATGCAAAAACAACCCAGTAAAACTTTGTCAATGAGTTTAAGGTTTCAGTTTGTGAATACATGATGTTTATTTTATAAATTGCTCCATTTAGAGTGAAACAGAGCTCAACAGTGAAGAGTAAGCATCCATATTCTGATTAGGAGCCATAATATTGCAAACAAAGTAAACTTGGATTGTGAAACAATGGCAGCTCCTGTAAAAGGTCTGTGAGCTCTCTGATTTGTGGAGGTCACAGTTACTGTGGAAATGTTTAAAACCACAAAC